AAAGGTAAAGCAGTAGCGCCAAACATTCAGTGGTCCTTAGTTCTCAAATGTGAGGATTTGCTGCTTTTCTTTGTTTAATATCACTGTAAATCTCTTGTCTTTGGGTTATGGAATGTTGGTCTGAGAGAACAAGAGATTTAAAGCCATTGCCTTGGCTCTAGGAAAATATAAAAGTCATTTTCCATTATTTACTGACATTTTACAGCCAAAATGATTCACTGACTGTACAAAAACAAAACCAGCCACATCACTTAATAATGAAATTAACTGTTGATTGCTGTCCTCTGATAGTTTGTGGATAAACACAGTATAAGGGCAGTGTGTACAGGTGCGGTTTCATGTGCCCTCATAAAAAAGCTGCACGTCAGTGAGGCTTGAGGACAGCAGTTCACAGCAACATTTCTTTCTGTCTTCCTCCCTCTCTCTGTCTATCCCCTCTGAGTCGTCAGCCTCCTCCTTCGTCTGTTTATGAGCATTGAGCATTGAGAGGTCTCTGAGATCAGATGAGTATGTGTTAGGCGATTTATGTCTTTTCCTCTCTGGTGGGAGAGCTGGCTTTAATTACGTGCTGCCTGCTCTGGGGTTGATGTGACCCAGCAGCAGTCTGCACTCCCGGGACAAATAGATTGTTTGACTTGTCATGTCTGAGAAGCCAGTCTCACAGTCTCTCAAGTAGTTTCCTTGTATAGCACCCACCCAGCTCGCCCTAGGCTCTGCTGTCCTCTTGACTCTGACGTTGTTGCGCACAGGGTCAAGTGCAGCCTCGTTATGTAGTTTAACTCAATTCAGCACCGTGCTGGAGCTGAGTCCGCCCAGAGGAAGGAAACCTCGTGTCGTTATGCCTTTCACCTCCTTCTAAACAATGAGGCTGGCAGGGCAGGAGAAAGTGGGCAGACTTGTTTTGGAGAAGGTTTAAGTTTCTCTCTCAGGCAACATTCCTGATTTTATAGACAATGATATATTAAAAAAGATAACACAAGTGTTTTCTTTACTCTGATCATCTGATGACATGGCATATTTTTCTTAGGATGACACGACCAAACACTTTGTTTTCTGTTTATTTTATCCTTGATACAATCAAGTGGACTGAACTCTATTGTTTTTCATACTGTTTCAGGGTCGCTGCCAGAGCCTTGCTTTTTGAGAACGCCTCTTCCCCGCAGTCTGTTCCTGTCGGAAGGTGCTGTAAAAACATGACACCATCTTCAACAGTTTAACCTAATTATCCTCACCCTCATCTCTTCAGATCTGACTTTGCCTGTCTGTGCCACTTTTACAGAGACGCCGAGGCCATGTATTCCTGTGAAGCAGAGCACAGCAATGAGCTCAGCTTCCCCCAGGGGGCGCACTTCTCAAACGGTAAGCGGTGCAAGCATGAGACACTCATTATATGCCTCAGCTGATGGTTACTTTGCTGCAGACGTGCTCACAACAGCACACATGCCTCCTTTGCGTAGGCTGACTGGCCATTTGGATAGTGTACACAGACAGTCTGTTGTGCACTGGCAGCACACAGCAAGGACTTGGCTAATTCCCAGTGTTATGTGGAGGGATAAAATAATTCTGCTCTTAGCGTGACACCCCCATATGCATTGCTAAAGTATAAACAGCCTCGGGATTTTTTATTGCCTCTTGCCTTTTCCATGAGGAGATGACTTGGCCCACAACCAGTGCAGGCAGGTCACTGTAACCTAGTGATGGAAAGCACCAGTGCCTGTTCCCTGTTAACACAGGCAGCGGAGCCAGCAGCCAAACGCAAAAACGTCAACAAACGCTCCCTACCATTTACTTACCAGCAGGCAGAGTGTTTTCATTGCTGTCAGCATTAACTGGCCAGTTTTCTCTGCATCCTTATTCAGCATATCTCTGCTGGATTGTTTTATCAGATCATTTTTAAAGATGCTGCTCTTAATTTTGGTGCATCTGAGCAATGATTAACCTTGTTGTTTTTATGGTTTATACTGTATGTGATTAAGCAAGGCGATACTGCTTTCAAGCCTGTATAAATACTCCGTAGGGACCGAATTCAAAGAGCAGCCTGACCCAGAGTCTTTCTCAATCTGAAAAATGTTTATTTTTCTGCCTAATAGCATCTTTTTTTTCCCTAAGCCTGGGAAATTGTGTAACTAAATAAAGGCGCAGTCATTCTCATCAGGTTACACAGGATCAAGTGCTCGTTTCTTGCTTCTCTTTGATTTAAGTATTCTCTCTGGTTTTGTCCTGCAGTCTACCCCTCTGTTGAACCAGGCTGGCTTCAAGCAACATTCGAGGGGAAAACAGGTTTAATCCCCGAGAATTATGTCGTCATCCTCTAAAAAGCTGGTAAACATTGTATCTTTGTCATGGTATCCATGGAACAAGAAATAATAATACACAATGTGGCTGGTTGTTGTAATATTATTAATGCTGGTAACTGATATTTCTGCATTTTATGCAGTCTTAGCAGATACCAAGCAGGGCAGTAATTGTGTTAATAGTGCTAGAAGTCCAAAGATGTACCTCCTTTTTGTAATGACTGTATTGTAAAATGTTTGGGGGAATCTGCAGAGATTCATGCCCGGGTCCCAACCTTTGAATCAACCTACTCCACTGAGTTTGAGTTGGAAAATGAAAGTTGAGTGTAACGAGATGACAATTCTGTCTGATATCAGACAACACAGATTCAGAAGTTAAAGGAATAATTCACTCACAATGATCATTTGTATATCAATCAGTCGTGCTATGTTACTTTGAATTGACCTATGGCTAAGCCATGCCCCCCTCCACTCACTCGGACAAAATATTAACATTCAGTGACCGGCACTATGGCAGGTGTCACAGTACACGGCATTTCGCAGTAGGCAATTCATGATTTTTGGGGACATAATGATCAAATTTTGGTACATCAAAGTGCCACTGAAGTTAAGGTTTTGTTCTCAGAATATGAGAAAAGGATAACAGCCTTTTTACCATCTTTACCAAGAGTGTCTCTCCGTTAGTTTGGTGCTACAGTATTTACACTGAATCATTCAGCATAACGTTTGCCAACCTTTGTTATCTCTGCGACACAGATACGTTAATGAAGCTAAGCCAGAAGTTAACGTTAGCTTAACTAGAGCCCTTCAGACAACAGCTAACAATGATGTACGATCACCAAAGTACAAAACTAGAACAAAATAGGCTAATGAACTCCCAGCAAACAAGGTGACATGATGAACAACGCAGCTAGGAGCTAATGTTAGGCTAACTTTAGCTAGAGATGTTAAAGATAACTTTATATTTCTTTCCAGCAAAGTGACAATATGTTGCCTCAAACACGATGTTGATTTACCTTAGAACAGATGTAGACATCCTTGTTAATCTTACTCACGATGAGTTGATGTTCAACCAAAGGAGACACTTTTCTCGGTTGAGATGTGGCTTAGGAAAGGGTAAAAAATGCACCTCGTCGCCCAGCCTCTCAGGATACCTTGTGTCGGAGTTGCATGTACCCCATGCACACCATTTGACCATTTCTAAACTTCAAATCTCAGAAAAAGCTCATAAAACCGAACAAAACTGACTTTCTGTAATGCATTTCAATGGACGTCCAGGCAGAGAATGTCTGAGTGTGTGGGAATGGCTATAAGCACTTTGATTGGCTCATCGCATTTGAGGGCGGGGCTTAGCCAGAGGTCAATTGGAGAAAACCTTGTTTTTCTTGCTTGCCTCCATGGAAAATGGTGAACATATTATTTTATTGGGGATTGGGCACCAGAGGCCTGTACTACAAAGCAGGATTTGGAATTAGTGAGGTAACTTCAGGGTTAACTCTGGGTTTTCAGAGATGTCTGGTTCTTTTTTTTGCCAGTATAAATCACAGTGGTAACTTATGCTGAACAGCTAACCTGCTCCAAAGCAGGTTAACTTCAGAATATCGGATCACAGCCTGTCAACACCCCTGAGTCTCAGATAAAAAAAAGAGGGGTTTATACATTGTTATCTAGTCAGTAGAATCATTTCATTGTTCCAGGACTCTATTTCAGCTGGTTTTAAAACAGAGCTTTTAACAAACTGAGAGATTGATTACAACACTAAAGATATGATTTAAGCAGGATTTGAACACAGAATAACACGAGACACATAAATGCCACATTTGGGTCAGATAAACCTCATCAGTCATTAACTAGGCTACTTTTCCACTCTTTACTTAAGTAGCAGAAACAATCTTACATTACTTTTAAGTGTTTTATGTGACATATTAATCATCATCCAACTAAATTCGTAATTAAAGTCTCAGCCAAAGGTGAATTTTTAGATAGTATTTATAAGTTTACATTCCACCCCATTGACATTTTACTGTCTTGTAGTCCCAGACACTGTCAGTGCCATTTCATCTCAGGTGATATGAAGTACCTTACTTCATTCATGGTTCTGATGATGTCACATGTAATTAACAGCCCCGCCTCTTTTACATGAACAAGCTCATGGCTGGATAGGAAAACCCAGAGTTGACTGAACTAGTTAATAACCAGCTTTGTAGTGCCGGTTGTCCAATAGCTATGTTTCCATCCAAAAGTGATTCGAATCATTGGGAAATGCGCATTAAAAGAAATATGAATCCTGTGTGTTTCCATTAAATGTACGGACTTTGGCGAAAACTACGAACTTGCGTGAGTTTTCCGCAGAACCAGAAACAAAACAAGTCTTGCATTCTTCTTCTTCTACGTTTGCTGGTGGTTGGCAACCAGCTTGTAAATGTATTACCGCCTTCCCGACCCGGATTGTGTGGCTATCACCATGGAGAGAGGTGCACTACGTCAGACTTAATTCGAACATAACTGTTTCCATCCCCCGTTTTGCGAATCAACATTTTTTCGAATCAACCAAAACCCGGCTAAAGTGAGCATATTTTAGTTTGTGCGAATAAGTGGATTTTAATTTGAATTTTGGCATTTCCATCATAATTTTCCAATGCGATACTTCTAGATGCGCATCTAAACAGGCTGATGGCTAATGTTAGGGTTAGTCAAGCCAGATAACCAAAAGATATCCTGGGTAAGTTGAACTGGCTTCGTAGTGCAGGCCTCAGCAAAACTATATCAAAACATCTGTTTACAAACTCACACATAACTTGTGCAGTGCGGCCTAATCCAAGTGTCATTTAACCAGTTGTATGCTCAGTGCTTGTGCAAGAAAAACGAAGTTTTCTTTACGAATTCAAGGGACCGTGGCATGACTGATTCACAAATGGTAATTTTGTTGGTTCGGAGTTCCTTTAAGAAGAAATGGGTATTATGATATTATTGTTAGATGTAAATATATTACCCATCAACTGCACTGATGTTTTTAGTCCCAGTATTATCCTACAGAAACACAAAAACAATCACATCCAATTTCACAAGTTTTATTCTCAGAAATATATTATCTTTTTTTTAACTTCCTATTCAATCAACACTTGCCTTTCATTAAAGGAAACCTGTAGTTTCATAAACATTTTCTGCTAGCTGTAATAGAACAAACTGTGATTTAAAATAACAATACTAATCTATTAGAATTTAAAAGAAAAAGCATAATGGTTTTGCACCTTATCTTTCATGTTTATGGCCTGTGATCATTGTTCATCCACTGAACCTGCTCACTGCTGCAGCGCACTTTCTGGTTAGCTACACGGTACTGTACTGTACATTACTGCTCATGAGTTCTTCTGTCGTCGCTAATCAAAAATATTCACTTCATCTAACTGTGTATTACTATAAATTATCACACCAAATATATGCAGTATGTAAAAATGTGTTTTTATAATGTCATGAAATGTTCATGAGGTGGAGCTTTCACCTTTCATGCCTCTGTTGGAACTGTACTCTCTGGTACACTGGTGTACCGGTAATAATAACTAGACATGTATCAGATTATATTATGTTAAAGATACCATTTAATATTTAATTTTCTAGTACTGTCACAACATTTCCAAAGTACAAAGTCCATCATTATTTAAAAGGTTAACTTCAGTGATAATATTTCAGAAAAAGATCAAAGAAAGAAAATAATCAACAACACTTTAGCTCCTCAGATATTACAGACTGAACAGACTTTCTCTTGTGACCGAAAATGTATTTTAAAAGGTATTTGAGATCTTGTATACTTGCCAAGATCAGGGCGTTCTTTTCCATTTACATCTTTAAGAATGCGAGATGGCCTTGGACACTGATGCTGGACTAACACTCCCTTACCGTCTGACTTAGCAGAGGAAATGATATTCATATCCTAAATATGTAACATTTGGCATCCTTTTTTTTTATATGGCAAGCTTGTTTCCTTGCAATCATCTACTGTGTCTTGATGGTGCGTAAATATGTCTTTAAATAAACAGCGTGATTTATTAGACCTGTGGTCCAACACTTTTGTCACTGTTGATGAGTATAACTTAAGATCGCCGCAGCCATAAACTTGATTGGACACGCAAAACAGACTGAATATTGAGAATGTACTGTCAGTGCATAAAGTGTTGGAGGGTAAATACAGTTGTCTTTGTGTCCCTACAGTTGTGTTTTTCACTGAAAAAAGCTTCTAGTATGATGTCGGTTTCTTCCTATCCATAGCTACATGACAATTTGTTTTAATTGCACAATATTTTTTACTACGTATACCAGAAAAGTTATTTTTGGTCAAAGTGTTTTTGTTTGTTTGGTAAGTGTACAAGTCAAAAACATATTAACTGATGTCAGTTGCATGAAAGTTACAGTAATACCATGTGCAAAGAAGAAAAAGATCAGGGTTTACTGACATGCTGATGCAGACGTTTTTAAAGGTCCAGCATGTAGCCTGACGTGCACCTCCCCAGGAATGTTACTATACTATAGACAATTGTTTTGACAGTGAACGTTGTTGTGCGTTGTAATGAAACCGAATTTTGTAACATTACCTTTGTTAAATGTTGCTGCTGTCCCTGTCTTTATTTGAGTAGAGGAAAAGTCCACTAGCCACTAGGCTAATTTATACAATGTAAAATGCCTTAGGCTTGTGGTAAAAACATTAGCATGTTGTTTTTGTGTAGAAAATGTGTCCAGCAAAAGACAAATACTTTGTCTGTGAATGCTGCGAGTTACAGTGAAGCTGATTTGCGTACTTGTCACTTTTAAGCTATGTTTAATTTGTATTTTGGGTGTGTTTTAAATCAACTAAAGTTTACAGCATTTCACAGAAATGCCACACTGACTAGTGTTTTCGAGGTGTAACGGTTTAGGCCACGTGCGTAGATTATAGCTCTCTACACAGAGCTGACGCACAAGTATAAATCCCGCTTCAGGGGGATATATTTGCAGAAATGAAATAGCTTCATCCATGTTGCACCTTTGACAATAGCCCAGAATGGACAAATGGACAAATTCAAACCAGGAGTTCACGCTTGACACATGGGAGAAGTTTCAGCTGGTTGCTATCTGCAGTCCTCACCGCTAGATGCCGCTAAATCCTACACACTGCTCCTTTAAATGGTTTATTTGTAAAATTTGGCACTTTTAAAAACTTTGTCTATGTTAATGAACTACACTCTCTTCGAATCTGTCACATGCTTCACATTAATGTCTATAACTGGGTGTATTTTGATGCCCATTCAGCTGTAGATTAAAATCTTTCAGTACATTCTATTATGAAAATAACTCATTGGGGGCATGGTGGTCTTGGCAGAATTATGTGTTCTAACTGACTCATTTCTAATTAACTTAAGATGACAATAATTTGCTATTTGTTGCAAAATTTGTTATTATTATTAAATACTTTACAGATAGTTATCTTCCCAGTTTCTCCTCCCTTGAAGTAGATGCAGTGAGTCACGCTGCTACCATCCCTAAACAATTTCATTAGTTTAAGCAGCAGGTTTCAGTGTCTCCTGCATTTCACTTTCATTACAAATAAAATGTTGGCGAGAACGCTGAATATTTTAACGTTTTGTCAGTACTGTCTTCTTTTATGCAGCGTCAGTACAAAAATATCAGTATCTCGAATGGTTGTCAAAACCCTCTGTATATCAGCGAGCAAGTACCATCAATCAACAGAACTATACGGTGGAGCTTTATTGATTGATGCCTCTGACTTTATGAGACTCAAGATAGATTTGTACTAAAAAATGCATTTTTAAGGAACATGTTCTTCTGTTTCACCTCATAAAGTACAAGGGCTTAAAAGCATTTGAGGCAATTTTAAAGTAAAGATGACTGACTATAATCGTGAAGGCTATAAAGAATCCAGTAATTGTGGGCTGAATGATCCAGTCACAAGATGTCCGTGCTGAAATCATCACTTGGCGTGGAATATGAGGGGCCTCACCATGCCTGCCAGGACCTTGGGAAGCTGGGAGGCAATGACCTCTGACATCATCTCTGGAAACTCCACTTTCATGGCGTCTGCCTGGATGAAGGTGCTCAGACAGAACAGGTTGACCTTTTTCACTATCTGTCAGAGAAAGAGACATTCATGTTTATCTTAGCGCTCATTAAAGTAGCAATTAGATGAAGGCACGATATAACACTGTTGTACTCAGATCTACTTGGGAGCGTACATCGTGCATGGCATCCATCAGTTTGGTGAGGTGGTAGAATCGCTGTGAGCTGGCCACCAAGCCCTTCTCCTTCATGTGGATAGCCTTGGTCAGCTCCCGGATGTAGCTTTGTCTCATTTCTTCAAATGCGGCCTGACTTTTGAGTCCCTCGAGAGGCACTGAGAGCAGAGGGAACACTTATAGACACTTTTGCATGTAGATAAAGGGTTACTTTGTTTCAAAAGCTAACTAAACACTAGAGAAATGTAATAGAAGTGCCAGTAAATTATCTATTTAGGGGTAACATGCTGCTGTTCAAAACAATGTTTTTCAGTAAGTGTAAAAGTAGGAGTTGATAGCAGCTGCTACATAAATCCCGTCAAGGTCCAGTCACCCTGTACAACACTCCCTTTGTTGTGCGGCTCTACAGTAGATGATCATCAAAGCTTCACATCTCAGCTTGCAACATTGTACAAGCCAGCAAGTGCTGTTCATTCAAACGAGGGTAAGAAGTGAGTCATCTTGAGTCTGGTTCAGGAAGTCTCCTGGCTTTTACCTGTGTTGAGTAATATTATGGCTTTCATGCAGAGAAACTCCTCGCGGGTAACTTGGAGATTGGCAAACTCCTGAGGGATGAACTGTATCGCCAGGCAGAGGTCGTAAATGGGAGATCTCCTCATTTGATCCCTAACAGACAAAAAACAGAAAATGATGAGAGCTTCTTTTTCATCCAAAACTATTGCTTTGTGAATAAATGATGACTGCCATGTCCATAACTGCTAATTATAAATTGTAATGAACCAAAAACCAACTCAAATTGTCTGTGTAATGACGGTGACTTACTGACTGAGAACCAGATCAGGCGCAAAGTATAAATATTCACTGGTGACATTCTGGAAGGAGCGCCAGCCCAGAGAGAACACCATCAGGTTCATCCATGAGTACTGGATCAGGGTCATCTGATCATTGATGTGAAGGTTACGAAACCCTGTGAGAGAAAAAAAAATCCTGTATTTAGAGCACTTTTTTAATAGTTCGTGCAACTTGTGTCACGATACATTTGCACGAATATACCATCATACCTCGTGATGCAGCAAATTGGTTTTAGTACAATAGAGTACTGTAGGGAAGACATCTTTTATAGGCTGACATGGAAGTTAATGTTGCCCTAGTTCTCTCGACAAAAGGCTGGTAGGATTTTTCCCTTGGATTCTAGGTTATTGCAGAAAATAAGCTCTGTGGCAAACAAACGTCTATGATGCTTATATGTTTTGTTCAGCAATACACTCTTCACAAATGAGCACCACTTCTATGATTTTTGAAGCGTAAATGCAGTCGCCGGAGGTAAAAGGCTAACTTTAGGCTATAAACAAACTACGTCACGGTGGCTTGACTTAACCTCACCACCACAACAAGGTTGTAAAGCCGTGTTCGGCGTTATGACGTTCTGTAGTTTCATTTAGCCACTCGTTAGCAACTGTCTGTTTTAAGACATCTAAAAGCTAAAAGTCTCTTAAACTTGTGTTAACCACAGATCTTATTTCAGGCATCCAACCAAAAACCCATTAAAAAAACTCATTAACTTCGAGACAAGGGAACCAGGAGTGCTAAAATGCTAACTGATACCTGGGTTTAAGGACCCATTCCTGCACCAGTCTATCTCTGCTCAATTTAAAGCTTTATTGTTTGAAAATCTTCCTTTATTTTACATTTCCTGTGACAAACATAATTTTATACTACTTAGATTCACTTCTCTCATAACCAATATTCTTGGCATCACCAAGCCTGTTATCTCAGTCAGTGTTTAAGACTGGGACCTTCGGGGAGGCCTGCCAGTGAGTCCCCATGGTGACAAATGTGATGACCCTGAGCTGCAGAGAGCCGTTACCTGGCAGAGACTTGGACCACTTGACGATCCACAGCAGCTGTTTCTCACACAGCCTGTTGAGGCTGCTGAGCAGAATATGTGGGGCATCAGCCTGGGAAGCGTCATAACCAGAGTACACGGTCTCGGGTTCAATGTTTTCCAGGATATTGAGGATCGTCTGGGAGAGGTGCACCTCGCGGATGCCTGGTATGCAAGACATGGTCGTCAAGGCCTGATTGTCGCTGGACATGGCCAAGTGGGACTGGAACATCAGGGATGGGGCCAAACCCAAGGCTTTCAAGGCTCCAAAACGCTTCAGCTTCCTGCCTGTGACATGAGTGCAAGGCCTGGTCAGATAATGTGAGGCACAACTTGTGCCCATAATACATCATGCAGCTTATTCTGTCAAGTAAATTCACAGTTTGCAAAAATCCTGTTAAATATTAATTCATTATTGTCTTTTGATCTGAGCAGTTTTAACATAGTCGGCATTACATTACCAATCAGTTTAATATCTGCCATATGGGTGCATTAGCTCTGTGTTACTCTGCATAAAGAAATCCAACTAAATGGTACCTCCAAGCATCATCCCAGCTTGATAGCACTTTCGGAGGCGACATGCGGGGCAATTTTTCCTCCGAATTTTGTCCACAATGCAGTCATTTCGCCCGGCGCAGAGATAGTTATGATGGCCTGTTGGGTGAAAGGGTACAGACAATGCACACAATTTTAACAGCACTTAATTTTCAAACATGTAAGGTGGAGGAGAGGCACATAATGAGAGGGGAAAAGTGTCGAAGGGTTCTTGACTATTAGCATGGTTACTCCATCCACACTGAGGCAGCGTTCGGAGGAGAGATCTAAAGAGGAAAATTAGATAGAGGCAAGGCTGTGAGGACAGAATGACACGGCCGTGGTGAGACATAGTGGCTCTTATATAATCTCTCCTGTTGCAAGATAACAAGAAAAACAAGTCAAAGACGAAGAACACGGTGAACACTGGTCAGTGTGATACTGTTGCTCGTGACCTTTAACAACTACCATAGAAGGTCAGTCAAATTTGATGCAGTAATTCCCCTTGAGTGTACCACATTATCCACTGTAGACTTCAGATTAGAGATTAATAATCAGTTACAGCCTACCTCATTTTTATTTCATTTTCATTTTTTAAGTTATGTGATGCCCACTGATAACAGAAAAAAATGTTAGGAGGCAGATTTTCATTTGCAGGCACCCTAAATATTGAGTATTTACAATATACAGCATACTTAATGAAATATATTAACAACAGTTGGCATCAAACTAAAGAACAAAGGCAACATAAAAAGATTCACTGTCCCAGATTGGAGTAGGCAGATGGAAAACAAAGGGAGCGGACTGATAAAACAGTCATGCATGTTTGATCAGCTGTCCCTGGCCAGATGTTAAAAGGCATCTTGAAATAGAATAAAAATCTGAAGAAAAAAAAAAGGCAGTCAAACTGTTTGCTGTAGCTGAAGTGTTTTTCCTTTCATAACAGTCCCAAAACAGTATGTGGCTCTGACAACACTTGACTGAAAGTGTGTACGAAAACAAAAGAAAAGAGAACGTAGAACTTGTGGTTAAATTGGTTTGAAAATTAGAAATAAACATTTCCAGAAGTAGGTTAAAATGTTTTCTTTGCTCACCTTCGACGGCTCTTTTAAAAAAGACTTTACAGCTCCCACAGGTTAGGACTCCATAGTGGCATCCAGATGCCTCATCGCCGCAGATCACACACTGTCTCTGAGGTGGCATACTGGGGGAAAGAGAAAAATTAAACATATGTTGATGAGCTCATCTATGAAGGTGAATTCATATAGAAACTGCAGACATGTCCAGAACCTCCAAGATTTTAAAACTTCAGCCCTTTTTAAACTTTTTACGTGTAGGTGAAATGTACAGCGCCTTGAGTAGGCAACATTAAGGAGTTCATCATATGAGTTTGATCCCAATTAGAACAAAGGCAAGAACCAAGGGCATAGGTTTCATTTCAAAACTGGTGAGGGGTGACACATATTCAGCTAGAAAATTGTGAGCTTCAAAGACGTAATCTCCTGCATTCTGGTGATTTTTTTTTTCTTTTGCGGTACAAATTTGTGCCTTTTCTATATTATTAAGTTGAAATTACTTTGTTGTCATCAAAATAAAGGTCCTCTGCTACTTTTATCAAATGCACATTATGGATATTTTACTATACTATACTATAATATAATAATAAAACTAATGCTAAATATTAAGGGGGGCCTATCCCCTGCATCCCCCCCGAAATCTACACCTATGGCAACAGCTAAATGAGGCAGCCTGTAGTCTTACATTAATGACTGTCTTGTTTAACCCCTGAGTAAATTCCAAACCTTTTTAAGAGGCCCCTGTCTATGTTTGCAAGGTAACAACTGAGTGACCCAGAGTTTGTAGAAAGATGTATTATTTTTAATGGCTTTCTGCTGCCCTAAAGTGACAAAACTGAAACCAGACCAGAGAGGCTGAGATGTTTTCACACCTACTTATTGTCAGTACAAATTAACTTGTTGCATAATGTTTCCATGAGAGGCAGATGACAGTTTAGATAGGCCTGCTATATAGAAGTGAGCGGATGTCAGTCCTTGTCAGACAACAAGAGTTTGTTCTTTCCATGACTCAGAAATGACCAGACTGACTCATAAACAACTGTCGTGCAGTGGCAAACAGTTTGTCCTGATCATCAGTTTATGTGGGCACATCTGGCAAAACTGTTCCCTTCTATCTATCTTTTAACGCCAACTGTCACACAAGCAGAAAACGTACATTCAAAGTTAATAGGTGTCTCAGTTTTGATTGAAAAGGTCATGGAACTATATTTATATCTGTGACTTCCAGGTAAACTTTAGTCATGAAATATTTACCCTGGGAATGCGGAGAAAGGTGATGAGTTCCTCTGAATCAGGGTCTGGGTCTGGATCCCATCGTAGCTGCTGTGTGTGAACGGGTCCTTGGTCACCCCTGCGCACTGGGACCAGTACTGGGGCTCAGCTGGAGAGGTCTGCACCTGCCAACGGGGAAGCTCGCTCTTGTACATCATCACCTGCTGGGCTGCGTGCAAGTTGGTATCAAAGTTGATGACAGCCTTCCCGGACAAAGCGTACCTGGAGTCAGTCCTCACCTGGTTGAGCGCCGGCAGCTGCTCTGACTGGTTCAGGTCGATCAGAAAGTTTGGAGATCCCTCCAGTCCCGGTCGGGGACACGTCGCGGCAGGTGTAAAGCTGCTCGACTCCACGTCGCTGAGCCCCAGTTGCTGCTTCCTGTCGGTGTCACAGCAGGTGTCGAGCGCAGGTATCTCTGATGATGGAATAAAGTTGGGACAGCGGGTGTCCATGATCACAGAAGGCTCCTTTTCATCCTTGATGAACTTACACGCTCCGGTTGTTGAGGAGAGGCTGACATTTGGCAAACTTTCGGCCACATTCGTCCTCTGAAGTTTTGAAAATTCTTCCCACGGTACACCGTCACACTTCAGATATTCACTGCTACGATCATAAAAATGTTTCCCAGCAAGTGAACCATCGAGTGTGACACAGTCTTTGAAAACGGCACCTTCGCCGCTTGAATTCAGACCGTGGAATGGTGCGCCGGCGTTTCCAAAATTACGCACGGTGGAGGACAGGCAAGTTAGAGACTGTGACTCGTTCTGTAATTTCGTATTAATGAAATCAGCTTCAATCAAGTCACTTACTCTTGTATCGGTGGAATCGGCGATGGAAGTACTGATGGTGCTCATCCTTCCGTTTATTTTATTTTCCATTTTCTAAAGTGCAGAGCGCGCAGCAGAGACTGGAGTCCGCCCGGAGGTCGGACAGTGTGTGATAAACTGTGCCTCACAGTTTTCTGTAATCCTCCTCCCTGTCGAAAAAGGCTGTGGCTACGTCTTTCTTGTACTTAGGAGTCCTGTCCGCACAATTTAACAGCTGTTCAGAGAAGAAAGGGAAACTTTGTGCTGCTGACGAAGAATTAAAAGTGCGCAATTATGAGCTGTTTGACAAAATAAACTTGATTAGTAAATTAGAAGTGTAGTTCCTCGTCCTGGTTTTAAGTGTCATGTTTCAAAGCTGAATGTGTGTTCTTCTTTTAATTAACAGATTTACAATAGTTTTCCTCGTTCACACTAAATAGCCAGTCCTCCAAAGGATGCTAGGGGAGGACTTAATGTAGAGATGGATGGTTCCTTACAGCAGACCTTCAGTAAAACAGACAGCCAATGTGGAGCATGGATCACCTCAGTATCAGGGGCCAGTAGTCTCCACCCTACTTTTTATGAATAAGGTGCAACATGACGACAGTTTTGGCCAAATTAAAAAAAATATTGGAAGATGAGACAATGATAACTCCTAAACTCATTCATCCTTACAGCCTTGTTGAGTTCAACTGAAGGTCAAGACCTACAGTAATTGTCATTATGAGCATAGGTGTATTCTTTAATCTGAGTGAGCTGTGTCTCTTGCAGCCATGATAATGGGGTTTCATTGTGTTTGCATCTAGGAGACAGGTGGGAGAATCAGAGGACTAAATCCCTTCTGTCCCATTTGAGCTTTGAAGTTTTATTCATCACTTTAGGCAACTTCACATCTCAGCTGTTCTAATGGGGTGTTACGTAGGTTTGTGAAGGCTGTAATGAAGTCAAATCAATTAGAAATTTGACTTTTTTTTTTAAATTTCTTGTCCATAAGAGATAATTCCTCCAAGCACTGTCATCACCGTCTCTTGCCTTCTTTGTTCTTGTCTAATTTACATTTCTGTTATCACAATTAGATTACAGAGAGGGTTTTAACTCTTACAGTTAATCAGCTGAGTGTGGATGTTGCTGATACATGTGCTGATGATGCACACACAGACCTTGGCCCTGTTTCCTACGTCATTTGCTTGACGATATCAGAGGGGATTCTCACGCTGTGGCCTACATAATTCTTAGTACATTGTTTCACATGTGATTCGACATGTTTCTCAAATGCTGTAATGGCCTACTTATCAGACAAGAGTTTAATTTTCAAATGTGACACTCATGGTGACCAAGAGCCTCCTGTGCAACCTCATTGTCTGGTACTTTTTACATTAAATTGCTAAAATTGTAGACACTTGGGGTTAATAAATTTTACTGGGCCTTATGATGTTTGTGTTACGCAAAAAAAAAGTTATTTTATGAGTGTTGTCCGTCCCTTAGTTTTCCTTTTGTATAAATGCTTCACAGTGGCTCTGTTCAGGGGCTTGACAGTGAGGGGCTGGTGGTAGCTTTTGCACTCCTGGCCCGGCTGTATTTAGACGTGAGCTGTTTGTCTACCTGACAGGTCAGACTGTTCTCAGACATTTGTCTTGCTTCGCAGCAGGCGTGAGGGGGCACAATAGCATCTGCTGCAACGATTTTAAAAACCCATAAACCCTCTGTGCTCTGTGAGGTGAGGAGAACCAACATAGATTTTCACCATTAAATATTACGCTGAGGTGATCAACATTTTAATAAAACACAATATTAAATAATCAAAACGTTAATGCCCTGTATGAAAATTAAAACTAGAGTCCTGCTGATTGATTTTAAGGTTACATTACAGGAGAAAAAATGATGATCTCATAACTTGAGATTCATGGAAAGCTCTGTGGAAAGTGATTACCAACAAGCTTTCATTTATTTTTATGTTATGCGTGACTTATGAGCCCGCCACTGACACATCCAGACACGTGCTTTTTCAGTCTGAACTGCTCTGCTCTGTACTCCAGATGGAAAAATCACCTCTAAATCAAACCACACAAACAGCTGTTAACAGGCAGCACCGTCATATGTTAGCAGTCAGTAGTGCATATTAGTGTCACAGAGCCTGAGCAACAATAATAATAATAAAAAAAAAAAGATCCATTAGTGCCACCATGTGATTAACTGTATAGACACAGGGACAAAGAGAATCTGAGTCTTCCACCTTAAGGAATACATTTACATCAAGTGGAAAAAATCAAGTGTGTTTACCATTTTTAATATTCAAATATCCATTATTATCTGTTGTTTTTGCCCCATAATGTGTATAAGGTCTGTGCCCAAGGGCCCTTTGACCTTTGAGAGTGCAGCATGTCCCATTAATTCATCTCTGATCCTTACATTTTTTAAGAAAGTATAGCCAGCTTATTCTTTCTGCTCCTCTTTCTGCTGAGCATGCATGACTTCCCCCAGTTGCCTGATGAGCTTTGCCAGTGTCTCCGTGTCATGGTTTGCCCTTTCCAGCAGCTCATAGCGCAGACTGGAGATGTCCTGTTTGATCTCCTTTAATTCACCTGCGGGACGGTAAGTGAAGCAGCTTCAAATAGTGTTTCATAATTTGGTCATCCAGACGAGAAAAGCACCGTGTGCAGAAAACCTGCTGAACTCACCTTCATTTATTTCATCATTGTCTTTATCTCTCTGTGCTTTTAAGATGTATCTTTTGATGAGGCGATTCATTATGTCCTGTAGTAAAGAATAGAGGATTGGAGTTTTGAACTGATGAGCTAATTATTCACTTAAAACACAGGTTGGTTAAAGGAAAAGAACAGCCAGCAACTTGCGTCAGTAAGCATGTTTGATTATTACAACACGTATCCATTAAGAACCATAAAGTGTGCCCTAGATATCAGGTGCCGAAATAAGTTTAAAGTCAAAATATCATTGGAATATTTATGTTTACATGTCTGTGTGTACAAAACTTAACTTAGAAAAGACTTGACAGCTCAGTTATTAACAGGTTAATCTTTAGAAATGAAAATTGCTTTACTTGGTGGCGGGTTGGACAAAGCGGTGATTCAGCACTCAGGTCTTCCTGTTGCCTCAACTATGATGAGAAACAAAAGAAAAGAAGAAGCACTTTTATTTTAAACATACTTTTATGGGAACTCTTACACCTGCAATTTATAAATGTGACACAAGAGGGCCCTGTAGACCTGTGTCAAAGAATCACCTACAAGAAGTTCTTCTAATGTCTCTAGCCTTTGATTTACATTCAACAAAATTTATTTGGTCATTTCCTTTCTTGAAATATCATTTGTGTGAGCAGCTGATGCCTCACCTTGTTAAGTTCAATCTCATCATTTGAGTTGTCTTTGCTTTTGCCTTTAAGCACATCCCAGAGAAATTCCCTTATACCCAACAGGAGGGAAATGACAGACTTGGGGCTGGGCACAAGGTTGAAGGGCACAGGAAGTGTGCCACCCTGCTCAAAGTACGAGAACCAGAGTTTAGCTCTGGCGAACTTCCACTCAACATCAGCATCATCCTGCACAGACAGGAAGACACGGAAGGAGCAGAGGAAACATTGGATAAGCAAGTAAAAGTAAATCAGTTTGCATTTCTAATGTGCAACCTACATCTGCTCAACATTTGTTCATTAGGTCTGCAATATTATCGTGTACAAAAAATGGACTGAAACATAAAAACTGTGGTATGTAAGCAGTAAATCTTAACATCTATTGACACTTATAATCAAATTATTCCAAGACAATACTGGCCTTATAACAAAATGGTCATTGTCATCACTGATAAGACAAAAAAATGAATGGTAAGAAATGGATGATGATGAAGATGTACCTCAATTTCCTGGAAGGAGCTGTTGAACATGGCAATGAGCATATTCAGCAAGACGATCACCATGATGATGTTGTACACCCCGTAGAGAACATAGCCAATGTTCTCAATGAACTTATGGTCGATGTTAATGACTACTGATTTCACTTCCGACAAGCCAAAGATAGCCCAAAATAGCGTTTTAAAACTCTCCTCAAGCCTGAAGGGACAAAGAAATGAGAACTGAGTAAGTGTAGTGCAACCAAAGCGTTCATCTTACATCATATTCATTCAACACAGATTATATCCAAAGGCATAACTGGAAAATATTTATAACATTTCAAAGCTTTTTTCAGGCAAATGCGTCATTTCAACAGTCTATTGTCGACACTCACGTTGTGAAGGCATCGTTGTGCTTGGCTCCGAGGTAGTATGAGTACAGATTGAACATTCCCACCATGAAAGCCACAAAAACAGTGATGAAAATCACCATGAACTTAAAGATGTCTTTTACTGTTCTTCCCAGAGAGATCTGCAACGGCCCGAAGCTCTCATTGGCAGGCAGGATGTATGCAATGCGAGAGAAGCTCAGCACAACTGCAATTGCATAGAGGCCTTCGGAAATAAGCTGCGGGTCTGAGGGTATCCAGTTGATTCGAGCTGGAAATAAAGAAATGATTAACAGTTTTCATGCAGCAAACTTTCCCTCCATTTAAATCACTCTGTATAGAATAGCCAGAAAATCAAGTAGTCAAAAAAGGCTGTGATAATACTTCAACTAAGTGGAAAATTATTTCTTTATTGTCATGGATTTTCTGTTCCTGGTCTCAAAATTATGGTGGAGAAAAAAAAATCAATTTAAGATCAATAGACTCGGATCAATACCTTTAAAAATCAATATCCAGTGTAACACTGACACAACTAATGATGTAAATCTGAACAAGGAAATCCTCTTTAATAAAATATTGAAGGTCAATTTTTCTGCATAAAAGAAAAAAACTGAATCACTGATTATAAATTGAATTCTTTAGTCTGCACTCACCCAGCTGGAAATATTGTATCTCAGAGGGCAAGGTCATGTTGGACAGGTCAGTATAGTGCTGGTCAACATAACACTGGGCAGAGTACGCATGCCAGAAGGCCATTAATCTGGCAATGAAAGAGGTCATAAAAATGGCCAAAATACTGAAGTCAAGGAGGTTCCAGGGCTCTGAGATGTATTCTCGGATGTCCTGCGACCAAATATCTTTACATTCTTCCCAGATTTTTCCTGTAGGGGGAAAAAAAAATCATTAAAATCAACAGTCAGTTAAAAGTCACACTGATTCTTTCTCAAATGAGATAATGGCTGATATGGTTTTAACATGTATGTATAAACATGATAAATAAGGCTTGAATTGATAGTCAAATCACATAGTATTTATTGATGCTGCATCCTGGCAACGCGTGCGTGATATGGTTTCCAAGTCTTGCCTGTGGAGCTAATTTAAAGTGTCACCTTGCCATTTTTGTCTTTGGACATCCATTACCACTCTGATTTATTGGGGTACATGTGGTAGGAATACATTATTATCTATAGGCTATAGGCAATTTCCAAGCATGATAGATGTGTGGGGATTTTTAAACCTTCAATGACCTGCAATATCCTTGACCCTGCATGCACAGCAGCGAGATGTAAATGTGAAAGTGTGGGAGTGCCAGAAAGATGGGAGAGGAATAAATTTACATAACGAAAAGGCACACTAACGTCATAGGAAAAGATTCAACAGCTAGTTGTGCTTGTATTCAAGATTGTGGAAGGAATAGGATGAGGGCGTGAGGTGTTTACACTCATGACCTATGACCCAGGATATGATGAGAATCTCCATCCAGGTGAAGGGGGTTGTCTTCATTCGAAACAGTTGTGAGGGGTGATCGTGGCTGGTCATGTTAGGCAGCAGCGATGTTCCCTCAAAACGGTCTGCCGCGTTCAGGACCAGTAGGCAAAGAAATATCATGAAGGAGGCTGCGTGGGCCACAAACTTCAGGAAAGGTCCACACATGAGTTTTCCTAACTGACACAAGTCAGGGAAAGGCAAACAGAGTACAGTTTAACATTGTTTTGAGCTGCCCCTCCCCTGTCCCCCGCTGGCCTGCATTCACATTACCCCGAGCCCAAGTGTACTCAAGGACAGGACCTCTTCATCTGACCAATGTGAACAGTTCAATGCCGCCATTGCTATTGTTGTTGGGATGGTCGCATGGTTCATACGTCATCACCACATTTTGCGCGTTGCGTACATAACCTTGTGCGCATGCGTGACCAAGTGTACCGTGCCGTGCTTAAGCACACCTCTTCCAACCGTACCGGGCCAGGGAAGTGTACCGTACTCAAGCATGGTACACTTGCACTCACGCTAGCCAAATAATGCGGACTTTAGGGGGCAAACGTGCTTGGGCACGGTATGATTGCCTAGTGTGAGTGCGTCCTATAAGGATCCTGCAGAGGAAGTTGCTATTCCAGCATTGGCAACAACTGCCAACACTGCAAAGGAACCAAATAAAGGAAGACTGACTTATTGAAAAGAAAGTCTAGAAGTCTGACAGTAACAAAATTAAACACATAATAATATTGGTGAAGTGTATCAGAGACAGACAGAAGATATTGCTGATAGTTTAGCTTTCTGCTAACTGGACCCAAAGGCTAATGGCTGCAGCTTCTTGTTCATGTTCATGTAGCTAACGTTAGCTAGAGCCTCAAATCACAGTGTGTCATCCACCTCACTCTCCACCGCTACAGACCAACTTAGTCGGAGGAGAGCAGGCTGCAGCTCCAGAGATGGACACCCAGTCAGCTGCCTGAATCCAGGCAGCGCGTAACCCAGCTGCGATGGACCGGTCAGCCTCAACTCTCCGCCTGCTGCCTGCTCTCCCCCCGGGGAAGCAGTCCACAGTGGCGGGGAGTGAGGCACAGAGACCGTGGGGAGGCTAGCTAGCTAACTCTTGTCTCATTTGTGGTCTGATAAACAAATAGAGCAAGCCTGGCAAGGTGGAGTTGAGCGCATGAGGTGCGTGCAACTGTACACAGAAACGTGTATATGCCTATGGTCATCTGATGGGAGGGACTTAGGACAGAGAAGGGGGAAGGGTTTAATTTCAAATTCTGCCATTTTGTTGTTGTTGGGGTTTTTTTGCCTTTTCCAGATTTCTGCCTTACCAGCTTTAAGACCGAAACACAGAACACTTGCCTATAGCAGTGGGCATCAGCATGTTGAAACACAGTCTGACCAATTGTGACTAAAACAGTCATCCAAATCAGAAGAAACATGGGTCTGAGAGAGTTTTCTAACTTTATGTCACTGGTTAATGTTAAAGCTGCATTAATTGCAGCTCCACAACAAGCTGACAGACCCACAACCCTGACATATTATTGCCTAATAAAGTTTTTGTGGCTAATATGTTAGCAACATTGACCTATTCAAACGTCGAGCAGACATGGTGCAAATTTAGAAGCACGTCAAAGTCCAACGTTCACTTTCCCTTAAGCTCTGTTAAAAGTGTATAAAATGTTGCCTAAAAGAAAACTAAGACCATTATTGGTGAATCCAACTATTAACTTACAACAGTGAATGGGTTTTTTGGGACTAACCTTACTTGAGGGTGCGATCCAGTACATAAAGGACAGTACGGGCAACCCAAAAGCTACACCAAGGGCAAGAAGGATTTTAACGGCTGTGGTTTGCTGACGCAGTCCTGACAAATTCTCGTACCAGATGGAGAGAAGTTGCTGTTGGCAGTTTGGATGTGCCACAAACTGCCCCATCGACGGTATGTGTGAGGAGAGAGGAGGGAGGGAGAGTAAGGTAGAGGGATTATTAGGGGAAAGAAACAGTATACAGATTATAATATGAAAGCAAGTGCATCGATTCTAATCTTAAAGTTTTCTCACATGCTTACCTTTTTAACTTCATATTTTATTGCAAGTTTTAACCTGAGAAGGTTTTGTCGGCCCAAGGTCTCAGAGCTTTGACATGATTCTGTGTCCCCGTTCAAGATGGCCTTCACTTCCTCTGTGTTTCGACACAAATCCAGGAGTCCCACCACAAAGTCTTTACACTGCATGGATAGTTTCTTGTAATCATTCTATAACAGACAAAGGAAACATTTATAACACCTTATTCTTTTATATTTATGAATCACTACCAGCACAAAAGTCAAAACTTCAAATCCTGTCATAACTGTAGCTTCAAGCTTTTACTTAACATGATGTGCAGCTGTTGTCTTTAACTTTAGTTTAAGGATGGGTACATTTGATACTGTACCTTGAACTCCTTTTCAATGTTGGCCAGAACTGCAAGCTCATTGCTCAGTGCCAGAGCTGCCATCACTGGGTCTTCATTGGAGAGGGACAGATACGCTGGACTGGCCAGACATTTATATGCATTAATGCGGGACTGTGAATGGCTAAATGAGTCATGTCTCTGCTGCTCGCTGCAGGTCCCGCACTGGCAGAAGTAGTCATGGGGCCGCTCTACACGGGCCCCCTTCATAAGAAGTGTATGCACAATTTCATACTCATGACACTGGGAGGCCAGGATGATGGGAGTGATGTCATGAGAGAAGCGCGTGCCTTCCTCATCATAGGCAAAGAAGTCATCATGTGTACCCGCCTGGCTGGGACTGTTAGTCAGCCTCTGGCCGTCTGCAAAGGCTTGATGGCTCAGTAGGGCCTCCACTATACGGATATAGCCTTTACTGATGGCTAACAGCAAAGCATCTCCGATTCTAGCCAGGTCTTTCTTTCTGAGCAGGAGCTTAGTCACCTCTAAATGCTCATTGGCAACTGCCAGCTGCAGTGCATTCTGGCCCATGTAGTTCACACAGTTGACGTCGAATTCTGGCAGCTCCTCTAGAATCCGCTTCACTTCGGGGATGTTGCCATATTCTGCAGCATTTAAGAAAACTTCCTCTGTCTTGGAGAGGCAGGAGGTGGACTGAGAATGATACAGGTAACCAGCTCCCCGTAAAGCTTGTCTCCGAGGTTTGGTCACAGCCTGCATCATGGCTCTGCATTCATTGCTCCACCTAAACACAAACAGGCATCATTTGATTATCTAATATCAATATCATATGAAGACCCTATCTGTTTACAAATGATTAAGGGGGACAAATTGGCAGAGATGGAATATAATGTCATAAGTATGTTTTCTTTAATGTATAATCACCTGGAACGAAGAATTGTCATGTTTTCGTTACCTTAGAATGAGCCTTTAAATCTACCTAGGAAGAGGGTCCTCGTCCATGGAGCCCGCCATGTTTCTACAGTAGCCCAAAATGAACAACCCAAACACTGGCTCTAGATATTTTTTTTTGCATTTTTGCACCAGTCACTGTAGTTAGCAGCCCCTCCTTGGAGCACAGACTCACTCAAGCATTGTCGAATCCAATGCTTGGGCAGTGACTTGCGGCATCAGAAACCAACGAAAAAAGGCCACCTTAAATGTTGGCATGATAGATGGCCGGTTGCTGTTATAGTTTAACGGCACCCGGCGGTGTCAGGGGGATACATGGCGGGACAAGGAAGAAAGTTAAGCTGATGAAAGTCTGAGTGGAGCTGGGGAAGGGGTGGTGGATGGGTCCAACAAACCCCAACATTCACCCAAGAGAGCAGTGTTCACATCCTGTAAGATTCTAAAGCCAAACCCTGTTCTTTTTTCCTAAACCACATGCTTTTGTTGCCCAAGGACGCATTCACACTGGTGCTATTTGGTCCTCTTTACACGAACCCTGGTCCGCTTCCACGGATAGTTCAGTTCGTTTTGAGTGGTGTGAACGTTCATTCAAACTCTGGTGCGTACCAAATAAGCAAACCCTGGTCCGCTTGAAAACTGGGGGTCTCGGTTCACTTGCAAGTAAACCCTGGTGCAGTTCGCTTACAGTGGGAAATGCAAATGGACTATCAAGCAAACCAAAGAGAGGAAGTGACATAGAGCACAGTGCATTTTGGGTAGAAAAAAAAAAACAAAGCCAACAGCACAAACCGGGAGAAGCAGAGGTAAAAAAAGAAAAACTTGGAAGATGTCTCGTGGGCAGACGTGGAGTAGTGAGGAGGTGCAGGTGCATACTGATATATGGTCAGAGGACTATATATCGCAGTTGCTTGTGGCTACCCACAATGGATTTCCGTTTTCAGTCCTGGCAAGTCAATGAGCTGGGTTTTCTACTTCCTCATGCTTTTTTTCTTCTTGGTCAGTGGTTATTTCAGGCAATACCGCCCCCAAACGAGCAGCTGTTGTAACTGTGTGACGTTGTTCAGGCCGTTTGGTCTGCATTAAAAAGTGCAGTGTGTGGGGCGTCGGTAGCGTGGTGGGTGGTGCCGGCACCCCATATGCGGAGGCCTTGCTGCAGCAGCCACGGGTTCAGGTCGGGCTCGTGGCCCTTTGCTGCGTGTCAGTCCCCACTCTCTCTCTGACTCCCTTATTTCACTGTCCTGTCATTAAAGGCAAAAAGCCCATAAAAATAATCTTTAAAAAAAAAAGTGCAGTGTCAAAGTGAACCAAACCAAATGAAGGTGTGAAATTTTTCGGCATTCCCCGCCCAATCGAACAGAGTCCCCGGGACTATCCTGTGTGAATGGGCCCTAAACCCAACCATGTGTGTTTGTTGTTGAAGATATAAAAACGTCAATATGTGGTGTTGTACCAACGTAGTGAGTTTATTTTGAAAGAGTTTGTAAATGTTAAATTTCCTGTAAAAACAGATGTGTATCTTGAAAGAAGAGAACTTGACATGGACATGGTGTCCCAGAACGTCCACAACCAACACACCCAGGGTCTTCATGTCGTATGTGGACATAAAAAGTCCATGACCAAAATGTCAATATGTGACGAGGTTAGAGTGAGAATGTGATGCTCCTTGACGAGCAGCATTGGAAAACATTTTTAACAGTAAACTGCTTTTTTCTGTGTTTTATTTTACTGGTTAATTCATGTGGTCCGTTTCTTTTGGAGAGGAAGAGACTTCTGCAATAATTCAGTTCCAGGTAAAAATCTGCTGAACAATGTACACTGAAGGAATCCTACCCAGGAATTCACGCTTGGCACAGTGTAGAAATTCCAGCTGGTTACAATCTGCAATCATCACTCCTAGATGCCACTAAATCCTACACACTGTTCATTTAAATTCCTCCTCAGCAGACACATGATTTTAATTAGCCAGCTAGTTTGGGTTAATTCACGTCAGCTCCATGTACATTTCCTAAAAAGGCCTTAGAAATGAGACAGCAGACTTAATGAATGGACAACAGTGTGCGATGGACAGCTGGTCTCAGCTGAATTATAACTCGTCCTACATGTGTGACACCACCCACAGACTCATCATCTGCTCTGCTTCATTTCATGGCCTGGAACTGTCCATCCATTCAGCCTCTGCCTGATCGCTGACCAAATTTATCTTGCATGTCTGGAATATTATAAAAAAAAGTCAACGGTGTTGATTGTTAGTACAGTGGTAAACTTTTATTTACTGATTCTGGTATGATGTATACTCCATTCATTAGACTATAAATACCATGTAACAGTGACCATCTCTGATACTAATCGTATTTTGCATCATTGTCTAACGTAAATCTACTTTACATTCAGTAATTACATTTGAATAACGTGGTTATTCCTGGAGCTAATTGCTTCAGCACAGATGATGATAGATGATGACACAAACATCCCTTCATTTAATCATGATTAGTGTTAATAAGATTTTACATTAACAGGGCAAACTGATGGGCGCAAACACAGTACATACAGAATTCACTCTATTACAGACAAATCACTCATCTTTGGCATCCAGTCTGTATCAGCTGAGACAAGATGAAATGAAAATGGTGTCATGCTGCTCAGCCAGGGAAGGTGTGAAAATCACAACAAAAAATGGATGGACATAAAATAAATAATTAAAAAAGAGAGTAAGTTTTTGCCTTTAAAATGACATAGATGCTCTATGGGAATTTACCTGCCTGGATTTTTGAGAACGCCTTGTTGTTTTGGTCCTGCTGCTGCTCCTCCGCATCATCATGACAGGCAAGGAGACACTAGGAGATGGAGAAAAAACACTGGCATGAATACTTTAATGATAGATAAGATTCTTCTGCAGTTCATATCTTTGGATGAGCTGTGTGCAGTTACATGTGATGTTAACACTCAACATTGTAGTAACTGAAAAACAAGGCTTTCAGTGTGGAGAGGAATACATCAGTGTTGATTACAGATGACAAGGAAAGGCACAACAGAGGATTTGAAAAATGAGACACTGCAGGATGAGATCACTGAGTGCTACTCTAATACTGTTGTTTTTTAGGAGCATCACGGGCCTGAAGCTTTTCCACAGACGCCTAAATAAACACCGACATTCCTCTATCAATATTTCTTTAAATAAGGCACCGGAACTCCATTATCTTCGACATATTTACTATATGTTTCACATCAATTTTCAGAAGTCTAACAGGATGCTGCACTCACCTCACCGATGTGGCCAAATGACTTCACCTTCACTTCTTTAAATCCAAACTCCGTCCCAAAGCGAGCACAACACACACCGGCTCCTGTCAGCCTCTCCACCACCTGTCTGACTTCACCCAGCGTCCCACCTTGGCTCCTGGTGCTGACGGTGCAGCCTCTGCGCGCCCATTGGCCGGTTTTCTAGCAGCTTTTTTTGTGTGTGTGAGTGTGTTTGGATATTAGCATTTGTTGAACACATTTAGTTCCTATTCTGGAGATTACATTACAGTCTAGATTTCAGTGTAATGTCCTTGATTTCCCATAAATGTGATCAGTAAGCCCCAAAATCAAGATTTTAAAGCACTTTGTCAGACTAATAGAAGGTTTAAAAACAGCAGAAAATGCTGACCTAACTGGTTATGCATTCAATTGAGGCACAATATTATTTTATTACCAACTATTTCTAATCGTCAGTGTGCAGACTGAAGGCAATAGCATCACTAATACTCTATATGGCGTTTGGCACTCTGAAAATAGATCATTTGATGGTGTTGCCCTAGTCCATGGGACAGCGTAAACAATCTGGTAAAAAGCTTTTCTTAAATCCTCTTAACTCATAGTGTCATCAAATGTAACAGGTAATAATAACACCTTTATATTCCATGACAGGAACCGTCCCGAGGAGATATAGACTAAGCTCTGCAAACACAATTATGATTATAGTTCTCCAATTATATATGAGGTTTCATCAATAGGCTAGAGTGTAGCTGGAGTTCATGGCTGGAAATATGTTTGAGCTGTAAGTCTTTCAAATTTAATTTATATTAAGTTTACTCGATAG